CGTCGATATGGACTCCGTTGACGACACCTCTGGCACCATTAAGTTTGCCTTGTTATTTTCATTCGAACGATATTGATCGTGTTATCATTTTCGCCGTCATAAATTGGGGTGAAGCAAGAGTATTTTCGGACTTTGTAAGAACCATGTCTTTGTCAAGCTACGCCACAACCCAACCTTGGTAACTAGTTTCTTGTGTTTTAAAAGGCAATTCTGGAAAAACTGGTGTCATTCCGACCACTGAATGATGTCTCGCGCGCTACACGTGTGTGATTGTTTTGAGCTGTTTAAGCCGCTGAACCGGTCTACTCGAACCGACTTTGGATCGCTTGATTGAACCCGTTAACCGTTGATCGACCTGTTGACTTTGACCGACTTGACTTGTTGACTTTGATCGACTCCACTCTTTGACTTGACAACATAGTGCACAACCTCTATAGACTCACATATCTATAGTTCTCACATGTGTACATGGGCTTTGAAAAGAGAACATAATTTGATATAATGATATGTGTATTTCTAATGACATGGTACAAGTGCATATATGTCATGGTGATATGAGATGCTATGTGTTTATGTATTATATGACTATAGAAATTAGTAATGTATTGTGGTATATTAAAATGTATATTATATGTTTATGCTCATATGACGGAATTGAAGTCATGACAAGGGAATTAGTAAGGATAAACATGTTGGTGATATGAGAACAATGTAGGTGATATATGTATATGATGTGCGATATGAATTGCATGATATGATATATGTGTGATAGGGGTTATGGTATTTGTTACATAATATACATGAATATATGTTAATGTATATATAAATGAGCTGTATGATTGGATAGCATAAAACGGTCATGCATGATTAGTGGGTATGAATTCCATTAGATGTGTTTTCTTTATGCCTCACTAAGTCATCGACTTAGCGTGTGAGTGTTTCATACGCAGGTTACAGAAAGTGAATATAGAAGCTGTGAGGAGCAGGTCAGCATCTCCCTTACAAGATTTCAGATCAGAAAATAGATGAGTTAAATGTTTTTTTGTTATTTTGAATATAGTTGGCATGTACTAATTGATTGAGTTAAATATGCTCTGATCGATTTTGGTTATTGTGGTCAAATTATGTAACTAAATCGCTTTTACTTTAATGGAAGTTTTAAATTTTATTTGAATTTTGTCACGAGTCAAAGTTTGAAAAGTCAATGTGACACCTCAGACTCGTATTCGGGTCGGGTACGGGTTGGGAGGTGTTACAGTTGAATGTTGACTTTTCCGTTGACCGTTAACTTTTTTCAAAGACTTCTATCATGGTATTTTTTGACGTCCTAAATCCGTTTTGTAAAATTCAAACCCAAACGTCCTGTTTTTGCATATTTTAGTACTTTACAATATAATTATGTTATGTAAATTCTGAAAATTATAGTCTTCTTCTATGATATTATGTTCTGAAGGTGGTTACATGTCACCACACCACTCTCTAGTAAGTTCGAATCACCTATGTTCAACTAATTTTGACTTCACATGTTCGATTCAAGATACGCGTGAGTGTTATGAATTGAGTTATTAGTTGATTCCGTTTAATTAAGTATTATTTCAATTCTTTAAAGTAAAATATTATCATTAGGTTTCGTTATGCATGACCTAATATTACTGACCGTGAGAAGTGTAAGGCTTAGACAATATTGATTAGTTGTTATGTGTGTTTCCTCTTTACCTATTCGATTCTTTGTTATGATATACTATTATGTTTAATATTACTGCCTAGAGCATGTTCGAAATTTGATTACAATTATCTGTGACATTTACTATTCTGAATAATGTTGCATCACTCATGATCTGCACATTAATGCATTCCTGACTCTGCATGAGAATAATTCCCTGTTCTGATTCTGCATGAGATTAATTCCTTATTCTGATTCTGCATGTGATTAATTCCCCATTCTGACTCTGCATGTGATTAATTCTCATTCTGTTTCTGTATGCGATTATATATTTGTTCTATTTCTATTTAGGATCCTCTTCGAAGGGCTAGATCTCTATCTCGATTTTTGTATTCTAGCTTAGGTTCCTCTTCGAAAGATAACATCCACTTCCTATGTATCCGCGACGAAAGGTATGTTTGTATGTTATGATGGTTACACTCGGATGATGTTATTATTTGTGCATTATTTGTCCTGTTATATATATTTAATGATATTTGTTTATTGAGTATGATACATTGAGTTTTGTAATTCACCCTGTTTGTCTTTTTTATTATTAAAAAATCTACTTATAGAACTAGTTTAGCTATTGGAGGTGTGGTCTCGATACTATACGGTGTAAGATTTAATATTTATTTTTAATCTCTTTAAAATGTGGTATGATTTTATTTATGATTTTGTATTTAATAAATATTTTAAAAAATGATTTATTAAATAAGTTTCGCTTGTGGATCACTTATGTTATCAACGCAGTCACCCTGATTCAATCGTAACTCTTAAGTTGGGTCTAGGGGTTACATTTAGTGGTATCAACGAACAGATTTAAATTATCATAATATGTAACCCACTATAGTTTTGAAATTTTTTTTTAGACGAATATGAAAAATGTTTTTGAAAAACTATGCCACAAGATTTTCAAGTGTTTTGTAAACCTCTTGAGACTACGATACCATTATGGATAGTTATTAATTTTCTGTAATCTTAACGTGATATTTAATATATCTAGCCATAAGTCTGGTATGGGTACCTGATGTCGTTTAAATACCTTAATTGATTACTTCAGTTATAAAATCTGTACTCTAACAGTTAATCGTTAGTTAATTAGCAGTCATAATTTAATATTATAGATTTTTTTTCAAAAGTTGTTTTATGTGTAATAAAACAGTAATAAAGTTAATTTTGATTGATATTATATGATGATGTCCTAAGTAACTATTTTGATTACGAAGTAAATTCTTGATTACAAAGAAAATCGTTCAAAGAGCTCACATGCTCACATAAGAATATTTTTACGAAAAGATGCAATTTATTTCAAGTATGAATTTGTTGGTACAGTACCACTGTACCAGCTGGCACTAACATCAGCAAAGTAACTAAATTAAACACAACATAGATAAAGCGATAAATATTCATTTATCCAATCGCACCAACTCAACATCGCCTCCCCCGCTTGAGACTCACGCTATTTCCATCTGCCAACATCCTCTCATTTTCACGACGTGTCAACTAGATATAGAGAGTGAGTATTACTTTCGAATATTTGCGAAGCTTGCTCCAGAGTTGGGCCCCGCCGAAATCAAATGGTAGCGAGCAATGTTGGAAGCTTTTATAAACTCACAACACCGGTGACAATTGGCACAGCTAAGAAAACAGCTGTTTTTTATCCACATGGCAGATGATCCTTTTGCAGAACACAGACATGTCGTACAAAGTGGCCCCACCACACACACAGTCCTCGGATTTGGTTCGGCTAAGAGGATTAATTGCATGTAATTGTAGGGATGGACAATATGATCGGATCAGGTTAAATTTAGGTTTAAGGTGAAAAATATTTGATTTGATTTAAAAATATAATTTTATGTTATATATTTAGAAATAATTATAATAATATCTTTTTTATATTATTATTTTTAGTTAGATCACTGTTTTTATTGAGTAAAAATAAAATTTTATTATTATTTCGGGTAGGGTTGGATTTGATTCAGGTTTTATCTAATAAAATCATATAAGATTCTGATGAGGTAGAGAATATATATTTTTCAGATCGAGTCAGGTCGAATCAAATAAATGATGTAAATTTTTTTGGTCGAGTCGGGTTAACCAAACCCCGACCCAGGCCCATCCTAATGCATGGTTACGGCTACATCTTTTTCTTATTGGATACAAAGTTTGAAATATTTTAAGATAGAAATGCTTAATTCAGAATTTATCTCTCAAATTACAAAGTATGTTTTTTTGTTTTCCTATTCTACATTCTAACCTTTTGTGTATTAAGCCAAAAATAAACTTACTGTTGTGCTGTCTCTATCTCCTCAAGATTACTATTGATGCAGAAGATCTAGATGAGATTCCTTGGCAATTAAAGCCCCATAACAGTATTTTTGGGCATAATATCTTCGAAGCTTTGCATTTTTTTATAAAGAAAATCACAATCATTTAACATGACTTTTTGAAAGAAAAAGTGTGATCTATCGAAATTAAAGTTAATTGATATCAAATTATATCAATTATGTTTGTCAACTTTAAAATAATCATAATGATAATAAATTTGACACAAACATACACAGAATGATTTTATAATTAAAGTGAGATGAGATAGAGTTCTTTTTTTCATCTCAGATTATTTTCTCTTTATTTATTTTTTGTTATTAAAATCATTAATAGTGGTTTTAATGACTATTCAGTTCATTTGGTAGAGTACAAGGTTTTTAATTTTGAGGTCGTGGGATCGAGTTCCATGGAAGGCATTTCATAATTTGGAGGTCTCCTACGGAAGCTGCTCTCAACCTAGTGTTGGGGGCAGCCTATTATCTTATCTCTTCCTTACCTCATTACATATGAGAACAAGGGACATCCATTTTTTTATATTAAAATCACTGATAGGTCCTCATATATATTTTTTAATTAAAATTCTAAGTTCAAGTGAAAAATGATAAATTATTTGTGATCGATGAAACACATTTATTCTCATCAACACTTACATATTTTGATATTTTTATTATTTTTGATTCAAAACTCGTAATGAATTTTATATACTCCCTCAACTTGTAGTATTTTTCAAAAATAAAATTCTTGAAATCGTCCATACTTTACACATTTTTAATACAAATCTAAATAGTTGTTATTGAATATCTCACGTGGCTAAACAAACTCCCTTGACGTGGTATTTCCGATGTGGCCAGCGGAATGAGTTAATTGGAGTGGCCCCCATGTGGTCCTCGTCAAGCAAGCCAATGGAATAATTTTGGGCCTATAAAGAACGCCCCCTCTCTCTTCTTGTGACTGGTGCGAGTGAGTGAGTATTTTCAGAGCATCTCTCTCTGCTTATATCCCTTCCATGGCCGTCTCGTTTAAAATGTCTGTCGTTTTGAGTTTCTTCGTGGGTCTCACGGTTCTGGGTTTGGCAAACTCGGCTCAGTTCCATGAGCTTTTTCTACCCGGTTGGGCTAACGATCACTTCGTCTATGAAGGAGACCTTCTTAAGCTCAAACTCGATAACTATTCTGGTAAATCATCCGCCATTCCAAAGCTTCATCAAGCTCTAAAAGCCTCTGTTTTCTGGGAAAAAATATCACTTTCTCTCCATAATCTATCGTTTACAGACCCTTTTTTTTATAGATCAATGAGATGGCGGGTTAATAAATATTTCAGGCGCTGGGTTTGCATCAAAAAGCAAGTATTTGTTCGGGAAAGTTTCCATGCAGATTAAGCTTGTAGAAGGTGACTCTGCCGGAACTGTCACTGCTTACTATGTGAGTATATATATATATATATATATATATATTACACATTTATCTCACTATTCAGTATAATTCTCAATGATTTTTACACCTTTGTAAATAAACTATCTTTTTCCAATTGCTGATAATAAAAAGTTAACTTTTTTTTTTCTTTTTCTCATGTCGAGGCTAATAATGCTAAGCAGTAGCCGCTAGCTACCCACTCCCTTGAACCAATTTAAAGTCAATTTATTTCGCCTTTGTCCCCACCATGTTTTTTCCATGAAACCAATGATGCTGCAGCAAAAAAAACTTTTTATCTTCCTCTCAATCATGGATCTACTTTTTACTTAATTTAGCTTTGAAATATTGTTTGACGCACAGATGTCATCGGATGGTCCATATCACAATGAGTTTGATTTCGAGTTCCTGGGCAATACAACAGGTGAACCTTACCTTGTTCAGACCAATGTGTACGTTAATGGTGTAGGGAACAGGGAGCAAAGGATGAGCCTTTGGTTTGATCCCACCATGGACTTTCACTCTTACTCTATCCTTTGGAACCAACGCCAAGTTGTGTGAGTAGTTTATACGTATATACTCGTATATTTTATATATGTTCATAATCATTTTTAGTTATTGAGTATATAGACATAGTTGTTTAGACTCGGTTATGTGCGGCCATTTGAATATAGGGCATTGCTTGATTAGTTTATGTTTTGTGTTTGATCCAGGTTCCTAGTGGATGATACCCCAATAAGAGTGCACACCAACATGGAACACAAGGGAATCCCTTTTCCCAAAGACCAATCCATGGGTGTATATAGCTCAATCTGGAATGCTGATGATTGGGCCACACAGGGTGGCCTGGTCAAAACTGATTGGAGCCATGCACCGTTTGTTGCCTCCTACAAAGGGTTCGAGATCGACGCGTGTGAGTGCCCCGTGTCGGTGACAGCAGACAAGATAGCCAAGAAATGTAGCAGCACCGGTGAGAAGAGGTTCTGGTGGGACGAGCCGACAATATCAGAGTTGAGTTTGCACCAGAGCCACCAACTCGTTTGGGTGAGAGCCAACCACTTGGTCTACGACTATTGCGGCGATACAGATAGGTTCCCGGTCATGCCGGTTGAGTGTGAGCACCATCGCCACTAGTGGGGGCAAGAGCAAACTATGGCAAAGGGGTTCATTTGGGCACAATCTGTACGGGGGCACAGGGGCAGTTGAAGAATCATTGTCATAAAAACAAACATGTACTCCATGTTTTCATATTTTGGTCTCTTTTTAGTTTATTCCAGATTGTATGAAAATTCCATTAGATTAATGATATAAAATCTTAGTTTCTGTTCCATGAACTTGGTGGTGTTCTTACAAAGGATATGTACAATAAAAATAAGGAAAACTTGCTGAAAAGGATTGTTGATAAATTGCATGATTGACCAGCTAAAAACAAAGATTTGATGTGATGAGATTCCTAATAATAATGGACAAATAGAGGTCTAATTTTAAAATATTGTATAAAAATCATTGATTATTTAGGAAGGTTACTCAAAACCTCTAAAATAACAATGATTTCTTTAATTAATGAAATAATTTGATTCATACTATTATCAAGAAAATCGACATGTAAATAATATAATCTATGTTAGGGACATTGATGATCGTTATTATCTCTATGAAGGATATGCAATAACTCGTTTGACGGAATAAAAATTAATATTATCCGAAAGGACATTGTGTTAATTTAGTCATTCCATGAGTGAACTTATTACTGTGGCGAAAACAATGTACCACACTTACCTCCCAACTGCTATGAAGGAGTGAAAACATGTTGTAGGTGTCCTAGACGTCTTTTGGGTGGGCTCGAAATTGAGCTTCAACTTGAATAAAATGATTAGAGTCGTCACCGATTATTTTAAAGAAATATTTAGGCTAATTGAACACCATCTTACATGATATACGTTTTACCAGAAATGTGTCGGGTTCGGGAGTCGGTTACAGTCAAGGACGGATTAGCACCCTTATACTGCCCTTTCGGTACCAATTAATTTATCGGTTGTATTAATTGCAAAAATTATAATTTAAATTAAAATTTAAAAATTCAATTCGAATTAATTACCTTTAATTGATAGAAATCATCCCTAAAAAGTCAAAAAATATTAGATTATAAACAATAAAAAGAAATATGAAAAAAAAGAAAATAATAATAATAATAAAATAAATGAAAAAAATAAAATAAAAATAAATAAAATTGATTAGAAATAATATAATAAAAAAACAATGAAATAAAATAAAAAATAAAAAAACAGGGTTAAATATTAAAATTTAAAAAATATTAAGAAGATAAATATTAACAAAAAAAATAAAAAAAATAAAAAAATAAACAAAAGGATCAAAATGCAAAAATTAAAATAATAGTGGCTGAATCAAAAAAATAAGAAAGGAAAATAGTGACTAAATTAAAACATATAGGAATTCCTAGGCCATTTTCGAATAAAACATAAATTAGGGACTAAAATGTAAATATATTAAATTTAAAATCCAAATTAAAATATTATAAATTAAATTCAGTGACTAAAACGTAAAGAGTACAAATTACAGGAACCATAGAAAGAATTCACCTGTTCACGAAATTACAGAAAGACCCCACCTCAAAACGATGTAGTTTTGGGATGATATTTATAGGCCAAACTTGGCCCAAATACTTCTCCACCCCTCATTTCTTCATTTGCTCTCTCTCACTAAAAGAGAGGAAAAAACTTCTCTCTGACCTCTCTATAGAAACCCTCAACCGAAGGATGGTAGGCCACCACCGGTCGCCACCAACCGTAGCTCTGGCTGTCGCCGCCGACGGTCAGAAAAACTCAATATCTCCCAAAACGTTCCCCCTCTACACCCTTAACATCGATCCGAAACCCAAATCCCCGAAAACACCACGAATTTGTTTAGATCTAAGAAAAACCGTTCGAGTTTTCTTACCTTTTTCGACTGCTTTTTGATTTCTGGTGACCCCTTTATGGTTGATGCTTCAGTTTTTTATTTGGGTTTTTTTGTGTTGTATATTTGCATGCTTGGTTTTGCTTTGATATTTGGTTATTGTGGTTTGTTTTTGGTTTTTGCTTCGGTGTTTCGATGTTTGGTTGTCGATGGGTTCCCGTTGTGTTCAGTTTCTTGGTTATATGATTTTTGATCGATGTTTACTGTTTGTTCTCGATGTTGTTGTGATGATGGTCTCGATCGGGATTTTAATAACCCATGGGCGGCCGTTGTGGTCTCGGGAATAACGGGATATGTGGGTTGTTGCTCGTTCCGATCTTCTCGTTCGTGATACCGGTCGCCTCGGGATGGTTCAGTCCCGTTGGTACGGCCGGAAAATATGCTGGTCGTTTGGCGTGTAGTGTTCACACGTGCAAACTGTTCCTTCCCTGCGGTGCAATGCTTGATTATGTAACCCTAATCCCCTACTGGGCTGGTTCAGGTCCGATTTGGTTCTTTTGGACTGCTTGGACCCTTTGTTCGGACCTGGATTGAAAAAAAAGAAAATAAAAAAGAAGGACTTAATAAAAAACAAACAAATAAAAATAAAAATAATAATAATAATAATATATTTTAAAAAATTAAAACTATATATTATATATATGATTTTTAAAAAAGTTTTCAAACTATATATCATATAGTTTTCAAAGTGTTTTAAAAATCATATATTATATACATTTTCAAAATGTTTTTTTAAACTATTATATAAATTTTCAAAATGATTTAAAAACTATATATATTATATATGTTTTCAAAATATTTTTTTTAAAAAACTATATATTATATAAGTTTTCAAAATGTTTTAAAAATTATATATTATATGTAACCCCCTCAGACCGATGCGGATAGCCCGATCCGATCTGGAGTGTCACATTAGGGCCACTGGAGCGACCCATCGTAAAAATAGTAGAAAATTTAAAATTATTAAAACATGTAATTCATAATTGCTTTAACAACATTCAGAAATAAAACAGATTTTCAGACTCGTATATAAAACAAAATACAATTACAAGCCCCTAATCACAAGTACCATCTTCTGCAAGCAAGAAGAACTCCCTTATTGATGTCGATAAATGCACTAGTACAATTATTTTAACCTGCAATAGTGGGTAATAGAGTGAGCTTCGGAAAGCTCAATGATACAGAACTACCAGAAGATGCTACATGACATGCAGATAAATGGAAAGCCATATAATTTCCTTAATGAATCAGACGTATACTAGTTTGCGGGATAATCTGGGGTTCCATTAGTAGTGCATCGAGTTGAAGCCATGAAGATCACAGTTCATAGGAAGCATTCAAAGTATGACATTTTCAGGAGATCAAATATGATATCTAGTGTGTTCCAATCAAAACCAATGAAAAGATATAAATCTTTTAAAACCATAATTGAACCCCCAACCAAACTCCATTATACAGTTCCCCAGAACTGTATCCGTAGGGCTTTCCCTCAACACACAACAAAAGGGGAGCCAACCTAAGGATATACCTTGGGCCTATGGCCTACCAAAGATATCCTTAGATCCGTAGGGTTACCTTAAGCACACAACAAAAGAAAACCAACCTAAGGATATACCTTGGGTCTACCCAAGGACATCCTTAGATCCGTAGGGTTACCTTAAGCACACAACAAAAGGGAACTAATCTAAGGATATGCCTTGGGGTTTATGGGCCTACCCAAGGGTATCCTTAGATCCATAGGGTTACCTTAAGCACACAACAAAAGGGAACCAACCTAAGGATATGCCTTAGGGCTTGTGGGCCTACCCAAGGGTATCCTTAGATCCATAGAGTTACCCTATGCACATAGAAAAGGGAACCAACCTAAGGACATGCCTTGGGGCTAATATGCCTACCCAAGGATATCCTTAATTCCGTAAGGTCTTACCAGCTGGATCAGAGTTGTGTAACACATAGTTCAGAATTCTATCCATATAAAAATCCAGTAGAAATCAGTTTAGCCGTAAATCATAATACATGGATCGTGATCTAGTAATATGTCGTATCCACGATATTGAAATAAATCATATAACCAATTTCCACCTGTACACCATAAGTAGTCAAATGATTAACCCAAAGGAATACCTTGGGCCTGAGAGCCTACCCAAGGATCCCCTTAGGTCCGTAATTTTTTTTAGCTTGATTAGAGTTGTACCTCCAGTCTACCCATATAATATCCTAGTAAAACAGTTCATGTATAACTATTGACACATAAAACCATAGTTCATAAACCAGTAGTTTTCGTGATTCTATAAATCATAAACAATTCATATTTCTCAATAAAAATCATAATCATAATCATATACCATATTGTCATGGTTCATAAACCAATAAATCAATACTTGCTTTAAAACTCATTTCGAAACATATAAAACCATCATGTAGTATATATGGAACACACTAGAGGATCCAAATATTTCTTAGAGTCATTATGTAGTCACCAATATGGACAGTAAACTTATACAATTTGATCATATTTTAGGAACGAGGTCCTATTGAAGAGAATCGATTATTAACCGATCTAATCAGACCTTTAAGGTTGATACTTTAGAATTCTGCTACGTTCTCATGTGTATGAGGAAAACGTTCAGGAATGTCCGAAGTGATTTGAGCTAATAAAAGAGAAACGAAGATTCAAGACATTTGTAATCCACGTTGATCGATCGATTTATCGAACAATTCAAACTGAACAACACTCAAAACTAAAGCATGTCGACCCGTCAATATTTTGTTTTTCCAGGGTATTCACTCATAAATACTAATAATTCTTGTCCATAAATCATCTTCGTAATCACCGCTGAATATATCTTCCATCGGTCTTTATTTTATTTCCACGTTTCAACGATATCAGAAAATATAGACGTACTTGATTCATGGTTCATGACCCATAAGGACAATTCATCATGTAAGTTCAACAATGTTTCCAGACTCATCCAATCACCTATTTAATCCCGAGCCATTGAGGTTACTTAATTCATTTAGCAATCAAGTCTATCCCGGTTACTTCAGAGTTTTCCAAAGTATTTCAGACGTTTCTAAATTTCAAATACATGTTGTACTTCCGTTCAGTTCACTTTGGTCATATACTTAAAATCATTTTAGCATTCATGGTTGATTTATCACACGCATATCTCATTCTTAATATCGAATACGCTCTAGCGTTGAGCTGTGTACTTCCAAAATTATCATCAATCCAAACTTGAGAAGACGAACAAGCATTCACGTGGTACCTATGCCATTCAAGTACTGACATAGTATTAGGGTTTATGTACCCACTTAAATTGTGTTCCATTACTTTTAAGGGTAATACAACAC